AGAGCTGGTAAAGCAACCAGGAAATACAAGAACTGGTTTGGGGGCAGGTAACAGGAAATCAGCTGATTTATCACGGTTGGAAAACCTTGGTGTTCGGCCTAATATTGCTGAAATGGATACACATGAGGATATTTTCTGAGCAGAGATATTTCACTGGATGCAGCAAAAGAGGATGAAATAAAAAGTTGGAAACAAAACCAAGTGTTTGAAGAAGTTCAGGGCAAAGGTCAAAAGTGTATCTCTACTCGCTGGGTGTGCACTATGAAAGAAAGTGAAACTGGATTAGTACCAAAAGCAAGGCTTGTTGCACAGGGATTTGAAGAACTACAAGTTTCTGACTTACAAAAGGACTCACCTACCTGTGCCTCACTGAGACTCCTAGTGGCAGCGACATGTCAGAAACAATGGAAACTTCACTCCATGGACATTAATCTGCTCTCCTACAAGGAATTGAACTGTGCAGAGACATTTTCATCAAACCACCTCCGGAGGCTAATAGCACACGTGTGCTTTGGAAAGTGAGAAAATGTGTGTATGGTCTAGCAGATGCTTCATTGTATTGGTACAATGACTCTTTACACAGAGTAAAGAGCATCGTGTTAGAAGCAGTAGGTGTGTCTAAGGTTGATCCTGCAGTTTTCTACTGGTTTGATGAGAGCAAGAATATTATGGGTGTCCTTGCTTGTCATGTTGATGATTTTATAAGGGGAGGATCCCAATTTTTTTCAGAGTCAGTCATACCGAACCTTAGATCACCGTTGAATATGATCATGAAGCTCATGAAACCTTCTCCTAGGTAGGTTTGGACCTTGTTACTTTGGGTACCAAATTTAAGATACATCAACAGACACATCCAAAACCTGCAGCCTATCAACCTCTCACCCTCTAGAGCAGTAGGGTCAGCTTCCCCCCTCACTGAGGAAGAGAGAGAGCAGCTCAGGTCAAAGATAGGCCAACAAGACAGAGCAGGCCTGATGTCATGTTTGATGCAAGTAATTTGGCATCCAGTCTCAAACAGGCCACAGTACAGACCATATGTGAGGCAAACAGAGTTGTGTGGAAACTCAAAGCCAAGTCAGTTGAACTGAATTTTCAGCATCTTGGGGAAAACGGTAACTTAAAGATAGTTTAAGTTGTGGAAAGTCTTTATGGCAAGATATCCAAAACTGGGTGAGTGTCCCGTAGGCATTGTGGGGCAACGCCCAATCACTGATACTCTGGAGGGAGAAACACAGGTAAGTGACCACCATCATCTGCAAGGGGGATGACCATCCGAGTGAGTCACTTACCTGGTTTAACAATCCAGTCCATCCTCTCCGAGGAAGGCAGGATCCAGCCGATGCGCTGAGGAACGAAATGCGCCGCAAGGAGCCGCTCAAAGTCTCCCCGACGCAGCAACCCTGGTGAACAGGCAAAAACTGATCCTAGGAGCCAGGCTTACGGGACTAAAACTGACCTCCCACGCATTCCAAACCAAAACCTTTAGGGCTCCACAGAAAAGGGCCAGAAACCGAGGTACCCCCCTACAGGGAGCAGGTGAATAAGATAAATGATCATTAGAGAGCGGGGACGGAACAGCAGGTGAATGAAATGAGCAATCAGATCAGCAACTGGGGCTAAGATCATGACAAGAGGAGCTTTGATTTAATTCAAGGGTTCTTCAGCACCCCCCAAAATGGGCCAACAACGCCTATGGTTCTGATTCCTGGTTGATGGGACAGGTGTTGTGAATGAAACGGTGCCCAGCTTGAAAGAGCTCCTGTATGTCGCTGAATGGGTTCACTGATGACTGAAAGTCTAATCAACCAAAACTTTCCCGACCCCCATGCAGTACCACCGTGGACCCCTAGGGGTCGCAGACCCCCTGTTAAATTAAGCCATAATGATGCTTTTATTGGGCTACTCTACAAAGCCAGGAGCTCAACCCTACTCCAGACATTTTGAATTGATAAAGCTTCCCCGATGGGAAGAGAAATGTCTTCAAAGTCCAGGGGATTGTTATTAACCTAACTATTTTAAAATAATTGTAAAATATAATTTCTAAGTTTATTGAAAGAAAAGTAGCTCTAAAAACCTATTTCTTTGTTCTTTAATGTGTCACTCTGTTGTCAAAAATTTAATTCAAATATTCTTTATAAAAACCACTAATAGACGGGTATCTGTCATAAAAATTTAGTTTTTGGTATCACTTTTAGCCACTATTAAGAGCCTTTGGAGAAAGTCCAAAGAGCCACAGGTTGCAGACCCCTGCCACATTTACATCACCAGGAGCCGCTCAGATTCAATATGCATCTAATTACCAGATAAAATAGAGCATAAAGCATGAAAATAAAATATATCACAATCACCAGAGATGCTGATTATTTATAAACTAAATCCATCCTTCTGTCTTTGTGCAGGAAGCCTTAGTGTCTCTATTTAGTATCAGCCATTGAGGCCAGAAACACTTTGAAGAAAAGCTAATCTAAAACGCAGACAGTCACTAGCTTAACTGGCTGTAAACGTTTAGCTCTAACTGACGAAAGAAAAATGCTGACATAGGGGGCGGGACCTCTAAATCTGAAACCTGATTGGTTGTAGAAAACGTTCCTCACTAATATTGTTAAGGTAACATCAGCAGCTCTGCTGATGCTGAAGGCCCTGGGCAGATTAGATTGACATAGCAACACACTGAGGCTGAAATCTGATTGGACGAAAAATATAGCAACCAGATAAATGTATTGGAGGCGGCGCAGCCAAAAGAAATGCTACGAAATAAAGAAAACGGATTGTTTGATATAAGTAATACAGTTGGAAAGAAGGAAATTAAAGATTAGATTGTGAATGTTCTAATTGATTTGAAGGCTTTGAAGGCCCTAACAGCCAACCACTGCATCTAAAGAGAGGTTTGCTTCCTGATCCCCAGCTACCAGATAGCAGCCAGCCTCAGCATGCAGAGGTACGCTCTGGTGTTTGGAGTCAACACCTTCGGGGCTCTGCTGCTCTGGACTCTGATCACCGTGATTGTGGTGGACTCTGCCGGGCTGGGCCTGGACGTCTTCACACAGGTAAGTCTTTGGTTTTGTGGAGAAAGTACCCAGTTTTTGTTCCTTTGTGACCCGTGTTGATTTCCTCCTCCAGTTCCTCATCTACGGAGGCTACTTTACTGTTATATCTGTCATCTTCCTGCTGGCCGGGCTCTACAGAGTGTTCTCCTCCAGGCGCTCCAAGCTGGACCTGACGGAGGTCCACGGAGAGTCTGATGCACCGCTGAATGGCGGCGTTACAGTCACTGATTCATCTTGAGAAGGGGAAGTTGCATCACTTTCCTTGGAGCAAACTGAATAGGCGCCTCTACTGGTGTCAGCGTGTGCTGTTCCCCAGATCTACTTTTCATCTTTATTGACTCTACTTTATATTTCTAGTTGGGCTGGGCAGTTAATTGCATTTGCAATATAATTGCAATTTAAGAAATCGCAATTTCAAAATCGCAATTTTGGTCAAGTTATATGTAACAAGACTAATAACCACATATCTTTTCCTCGCTCCAGCACTTTGTGGTGCTCAAATGTTTATAGTAGATTTGCTGCCTCAAAAAAGCAAAGAGAAACTTCTAGCTAGCACTCTGATCTATGCTAGCACGTAGAAGTTAGCACTTTTCCAAACAGAAGTCACAATAAAGTTCCGCAAAACAGACTTTAGACAAGCAAGCTTTAAAGGTCATTAAAAATTAAAACCCTGGAGTGAAACATCTACACGCTCTTGATGAATATAAGGAATATAAAAAAAAACAAAAACACATTAGTTGAAAATAATCGCAATTTTCGTTATTTGGCAAAATTGTTCAGCCCTAATTTCTAGTAAGTCTGAGTCACACAGACCTAAAAAGACCCGCTGCCATCTTCATTTGTAAATATGCAGATATTTGTTTTTGGCCACTTTGGTAAAAAAAAAAAAAAAAAAAAAATCAATTTTTTTTATCTATTTTTGTTATAGGTGGACAAAAAATCGCAGAAAACTGAGGCGTGTGACAATCATTGGTCAGAAGTGATTTGGTGAAAAATGAGAAAAATCTAGACTTCTAATTTTATGATGCGGTAGATCCATCACTTGCTAGCAGCAGCGTTGCTAAGCAACAGTGGAACAGATAGGATTACGATCCGACAGTGGCTAGGTCTGGGGAAACCATCCTGTCTGCCAGTTGGTAGTCGTACCTGAAGCGGCACCAGAGTGCATTTGGAAGCGGACCAAGACCACATCAGAAAGCGGGTCTCGACCCGGTCGATTAGTCCGGGCTGAAGTCCGATTCTCTTTAGTCACACTTTCAAAAAGGTCCAGCCCTAATCTGACAGGTGTGAAAATGTTCTAATATGTTAATCAGTTTCCGTTAATTTTTTAGGCCAATTGAGTCTAAAGAAATGACCTGTTGCTGGATAAATAGTGAAGGGTTGAAGTAGAGCACACTGACTGAAACTGTTTCAGATTCTGGTTTGGACAGGTTTGATTCCACTGGTTTGGAATTTTTGAGTCTATTTAACTGTGTCAAATGGGCAGATCTCCGTATGATCTGAGATTCTTATCCACAAAACAAAAGAAACCTTTAGATCCTGGTTACCTCACTGGCTCTTACCTCCTAATGGGTGTCTGAAAGGTCCGTTGAAGTCCATCATTGCAGTGGTGGAGAAACATTACTGCTGCTTTAACGCAGCTGGACTTTGAATATATTATAAAGAGCAACAATTGCATCTTGGTAAGCTGCTGTATCTCTATAGTGTTTATTATAACTCAGTGACCTCTACTGTTCCAGCCGGACTGATCAACAAAAAAGGCTAAAGAAAGATTCGGCCAATGCTTCTATAACATACTGGATTAGGAGCAGTTATTCCCTGAAAATCTCCTTGCTAATCAGATTATTAGCTACGGCAGAAAACCGCATTAACTCAAACTTAGTTTCTAATGCCGTTTGCTGATCTCTGGATGCCAATTCTTCGTCTTTCTAATTATTCATCACTTTGTACCGTTACAGTAGATTTAAACGGGATAATTTTCACTAAACGGCTAATAGATTATCACCTATATTCTCTGTTATATAGGTAGCCTTTTGCAAAAATATAAACCTGGAGTAAAAAAAAAAACAGTTTCAGGTAGTTGGAATATTACAAACTCACACAAAGTGAATTTTAATTCTTGATATACTTTTTATTTAATCTTCATCCTTTGATAAGATTTAGGTTTCTTGCAACCAAGTGGAACAAAAATATCCTGTTACTTTAGATCAGTTCTGCATTTTAAGCACGTTTCTCATATTACTTTGTTTACATTTTGTTTTTAGAGGTACAATTTACTACTTTTCGTTTTTGTGATAAATCTCTGGAATATTTAAAATTTCATGGAGGGAGGGCTAAACAATGTTAAAATCTGGAACAGCTATCTATTTTCCAGTTGGCATAGAATCCTGGACGAGCCCCCAAAAAATGACCAGCCAAAACCAGCTTGTCTAAATTCTAAATGATTAACATTGAACAGGGATAAGTTTATTTTGTCAAATTCTGACATTTTCTCACAGTTTTCCAGTGAGAACAGGTAACGATTTGCTAATTATCCAAATTTTAACAGTTTAAAATGACCAGAATTACATTATGCTGTAGAAACCAATTGTCCAAACCTTAAATTATGAACCACAGAGCAGTATTTTGGATTAGTTTCCAAGAAACACATTGAATACATCAGAGTATTGGAACTGATAACTGTAGCCTCCAGCCTTACTAGATTAGATTTAGTGTAAGCAATAATACTTTGTCATATCTAATGATTAATACTGTTAATAATTCTTGTTTAACTAACTTTAAATTATGATTGGTACGAAAGCATAAACATACATCATTCAGTGTTTGTGTGCTGCAACAAAAATGGTACCATTTGTTAGCAGCTGGTATGAGTCTATGTCTGTATCTATATTTGTTTCTCCCACTGTAAAATTTTATTGCACTATCAACAAAGATTTATATTTCCATGTTGGAAGCACTGGTGCAGCCAAGCACAACTGAAGTCTGTAGGTTTTAGCGAACACTACACCGTTAATCTGGAGGTGATATGATGCACCTTTGTGTTTTAGCTGCTGATTTCTTCGTTTGTGGTGCGTTTAAGTGCCTAAGAGATAAAATATGCCTTGGGTTTGTTTATTTTTGCTTTATTTGGTGACAAATTGCACAGTTAAAACCTCCAAAGCCGTTACGTAACAATTCAAAAACTTTCAGTTGAAAGGTCCGCATGAGATCCATAGGAGCCTTCTACCAGAAGGGTTCAGGGTGCTTTAAAAAGCCCATAATGAAGGATATTCATTTTCTGCCCCAAATCAAATCGACAAATTAGCTTAAAAAAGGTACGAAATCTGTTTTTAAATTATTTTATTTCAGGGTAAAGCTTCCCAATCAAGTATTCATAGATAAAACAAGCTGAGTTTAGCATCAGTCAGGCCCAAATAATAAGAGCCTGTCTGACAACTTGAAGTAGGCATATATGTGTGATAAATAAAACACTGGACTCTAATTTATAAACGTATTACAATAATGAGGAAAAATAGCCTTTGACATCTGCTGTAGCAAAACGGAAACATTTCACATTCCCAAGGTTTTAATAATAAAAAAAGCACTTAATTAGATAAAATGTTAATTTATTTTTTAAACCAGCCTTTGCCATGAATTCATCTGAAGACAGAAAAGCTATTATTAAAAAATTCCTTTGTCCGCCGCAGTCATAATGGAAGACGTAAAATTAACAGATCTAACCTGAAGCAAATAAATACCAGCTGTGGGAACGCAGCTCTAGAAATAGATGAAATAGATTAGCCATCATTGGGATTTACCTTCCATAAACGGGCCGTTTTCCGTTGACTCATCCGACGTGAATGTACAGGACGCCATCGTTTTATCACTACACACGGACGCATCTATGAAGTGTCATAATCTGACACGTTCTCGTGTTTTTTAGTTTAGCAGAAGCTTCTTATTTATTTCTCTGTAATCCTTTGAGGTCAACCTGGCAGGACGTGTGTGAAAGTGTGAGTGAAGAAGTTGTACTGTTACCTGAAATCTGGATTCTGCAGAACTTTTCTATGCAAGACGAGAGCCAGCCAAATGTTTTATACCTGTGTTGTTCTTTTTATAATCATATGATGTATATTTAATAAATTCCTTTAAATAACGTGTCGTTGGTTTCATCCATGATCAGATGACGGGTCTGGTAAAGTACTTTAATATTAAGCTAGTTGTATCCAGTAAAACCCAGATATTCACACAACTTCTCTGTTTAAAGTTTGAATTCAGAGGAAAAAACATATTAAACACATAAAAATTTAAAATTAGTAAACTTTTTTTATTTTCTCAGTAGCCCAAATGCACTTCCATAGTAAGGTTTTATGTAATCTTTAATAAAAGTTCATCAAAATACGATACAAGGATATGAGGATGTAACAAAGTCCAGGTTCTTTCATACTGCTAAAGCTTCAGCACCAGATTCCCTTCCCATCAGTTCAAACCAAGGTGCATCATGGGTAAACTGAAGCGTCATCTTTCCAGAGGTGTGTGGTCTTCAGGTTTGGGTTTAGCTGAGGAGAAGAGCTTCAGGAAAGACTCCAGATGACGGTGAGGGCGGCCATGATGCCGTTTAGAAGAGCCAGACCAAAGCTGAGGTTGAACCCGCGGCTGGAAGCATCTCTGCACCGAGAAACAAACTGGTCAGATAACGGAGACGGAACCGACCCCCAAGCTTCACGCTGCGGTACCTGACATCCGGCAGCGACAGCAGGCCGGGCAGCGCCCCGCCAGGCTGGAAGGAGTCCAGGTAGGTCAGGATCCACGAGGAGATACAGGAGACGCATCCCACAAGGGTGGAGATCACCAGGATGCTCCAGAAACCTGGACGACAGCAGATTATTAGAGGGGGAGGTTTGGTCTGACAGAGGAGACCTGTCCATCTGAACAGAGCCTGGGATGAGTTCAGGGAGGACATTTAGATCAGACGCTGACCCACTCACCCAGAATCCTCTCCTCAGTCCCGTTCTCTCCTCTCAGCCTCTCTGCCCGCAGATCTGAAACATTCAGCAGAGGTTAGAACATCTGCAGACCCCAGCAGGGCCGTAACTACCGCTGAAGACATTTTATTCATTTCCCCCCCAGCGGGGCCGTAACTACCGCTGAAGACATTTTATTCATTTCCCCCCCAGCGGGGCCGTAACTACCGCTGAAGATTTAATTCATGCTTAAATTTTGATATAAACTAAATCAAAGTGAAACCGACTGTAGGACGATGATCCTGGGATCAATTTAAACTTGCAGGTGTTTTATATTTAAAGAGCCAAAAGTAGCGCAACTGTTTAATCGTCATCATCAGGGGCGGAGCTAAATTGGGGGCCAGTGGTGGCCATAGCCACCCAACGATTGGCCACCCATGTGGACATATTTCCCATTTCATTAATCCTAATCGGAAAGTTCAAACTAATTTTACATTTTAATAGTTTTATATTAACAATAAACAAAGTTAATCACTCTCAATATGCTAATATTAACAATGATAAACAAATCATGATCTTTTAAGGACTAGTTTTCTTTGAGAAACAGGAAGTTCTGTGTATCTGCAGTCATCTAGGAGTCTTCAGTGAATCCATGTAATGTAGGTATCAGTTTATATTAATATTAGTGCTGTCAAAATTATCGCGTTATTATCGCGTTAACGCGA